CATCTCACCCCAACAAGGCTAGCATTAATCCAAAAAACACAAAATAATAAATGTTGGAAAGGCTATGGAGAGACTGGAACACTTATACACTGTTAGTGGGAACGTAAAATGGTACAACCACTTTGGAAATTGATTTGGCACTTCCTTAAAAAGCTAGAAATAGAAGTACCATACGATCCAGCAATCCCGCTCTTTGGAACATGTCCTAGAGAAACAACAGCCGTCACAGAAATAGATATATGCACACCCATGTTCACTGCAGCACTGTTCAGAATAGCAAAAAGATTGGAAACAACCTAGGTGCCCATCAACAGACAAATGGATAAACAAATTATGGTATATCCACACTACACAATGATAAAGAACAACAATGAAGCCATGAAACATAACATGGAGGAAGCTAGAGATCATTCTGCTGAGTGAATTTAGTCAGTCACAGAAGGACAAATATTGTATAAGACTACCATTATAAGAACTCAAGAAAAGGTTTAAACATAGAAGAAAACATTCTTTGATGGTTACAAAGGTGGGGAGGGAGGGGGCTATTTACTAACTAGATAATAGATAAGAATTATCTTAGGTGAAGGGAAGGACAGCACACACTAGAGGGGAAGTCAGCACAACTAGACTAAACCAAAGCTAAGAAGTTTCCTGAATACAATCAAACACTTTGAGGGACAGAGTAGCAGGGGTAGGCGTTTGGGGACCATGCTTTCAGGCGACATCTAGGTCAACTGGCATAACAAAGCTTATTAAGAAAATGTTCTGCATCCTACTTCCGTGACAGGCGACTGGGGTCTTAAAAGCTTGCAAGCAGCCATCTAAGATGCATCAATTGGTCCCAACCACCTGGAGTAAAGGAGAATGAAGAACACCAAAGACACAAGAGAAGTATTAGCCCAAGAGACAGAAAGGGCCACATAAACCAGAGACTTCCTCAGCCTGAGATCAGAAGAAGTAGATGGTGCCCAGCAACACCAATGACCACCCTGACAGGGAACACAACAGAGAGTCCCAGATGGAGCAAGAGAAAGATGGGGTGCAGAACTCAAATTCTAGCAAGAAGACCAGACTTAGTGGTCTGACTGAGACTGGAGGAACCCCAGAAAGCATGGCCCCTGGATTCTCTATCAGAGCAGAACTAAAACAATTTCCAAGGCCAACTCTTCAGACAGGGATTGGACTGGACTGTGGGACATAAAGTGATACTTGTGAGGAGTGTGCCTCTTAGCCCAAGTAGATACAAGAGACTAAATGGGAAGCTTTGGTCTGGAGGTGAGATGGGAAGGCAGAGAGGGTTAGGAGCTGGTTGGATGGACGCGGAGAATCAGGGGTGAAAAGGAGGAGCGTGCTGTCACAGTATGGGGAGAGCAATTAGAGTCACATAACAATGTATGTATAAAGTTTTGTATGGGGAGAAAAAAAGTTCGTACCACCAAATTACTAAGGGAGAAGTAAAAGTATCCGTATTCACAGATGATGTAATCTTATATACAGAAAACCCCAAAGAATCCACAAAAAACTACTGGAACTAATAGAAAATTTCAGCAAAGTATCAGGAAACAAGGTAAACATATGAAAATCAGTTGGATTCCTCTACACCAACAAAGAGAATTTCAAAAAGTAAATCACCAAATCAATACCATTTAAAATAACCCCCAAGAAGATAAAATACTTAGGAAAAAATCTAACCAGAGACGTAAAAGACCTATACAAAGAAAACTACAAGACACTACTGCAAGAAACCAAAAGAGACCTTCATAAGTGGAAAAACATACAATGCTCATGGACAGGAAGATTCAACATTTTGAAAATGTCAACTCTACCTAAAGCAATCTACAGATACGATGCAATCCTGATCCAAATTCCAATGGCATTTTTTTAATGAGATGGAGAAACAAATCACCAACCTCATATGGAAAGAGAAGAGGCCCCAGATCAGTGAAGCATTACTGAAGAAGAACAAAGTGGGAGGCCTTACACTACTTCATTTTAGAACCTAGTATACTGCCATGGTAGTCAAAACAGCCTGGTACTAGTACAACAACAGATACATAGACCAATGGAACAGAATTGAGAACACAGACGTAAATCCATCCACCTATGAGCAGCTAATGTTTGACAAAGGCCCAAAGTCTGTTAAATGGGGAAATGACAGTCTCTTTAACAAATGGTGCTGGCATAACTGGATATTCATCTGCAAAAAAATGAAACAAGACCCATACCTCACACCATGTACAAAAACTAACTCAAAATGGATCAAAGACCTAAATATAAAATCTAAAACGATAAAGATCATGGAAGAAAAAATAAGGACAAGGCTAGGAGCCCTAATACATGGCATAAATAGTATTCAAACCATAACTAACAATGCACGAACACCAGAAGAGAAACTAGATAACTGGGAGCTCCTAAAAATCAAACACTTACGCTCATCAAAAAACTTCACCAAAAGAGTGAAAAGAGAACCTAAAGACTAGGAAAAAATTTTTGGCTATGACATATCCAATAAGGGTCTAATCTCTAAAATCTACAAAATACTGCAACACCTCAACAACAAAAAGACAAATAACCCAATTAAAAAAGGGGCAAAGGATATGAACAGACATTTCACCAAAGAAGACATTCAGGCAGCTAACAGATACACGAGGAAATGCTCAGGATCATTAGCCATTAGAGAACTGCAAATTAAAACTACAATAAGATACCATCTCACCCCAGCCGGGCTGGCACTAATCCAAAAAACACAAACTAATAAATGTTGGAGAGGTTGTAGAGAGACTGGAACACTTATGCACTGCTGGTGGGAATGTAAAATGGTAAAATAACTTTGGAAAACGCTTTGGTGCTTCCTTAAAAAGCTAGAAATAGAAATACCATATGATCCAGCAAACCCACTCCTTGGAATATATCCTAGAGAAATAAGAGCCATCACAGAAATAGATACATGCACAACCATGTTCATTGCAGCACTATTCACAATAGCAAAAAGATGGAAACAACCTAGATGTCCATCAGCAAGTGAACGGATAAACAAATTATGGTACGTACACACCATAGAATACTACGCAACAATAAAAAAAAAAAAAAATGATGAATCCGAGAACCATCTCATAAACATGGATGAATTTGGAGGGCATTATGCTGAGTGAAATTAGTCACAAAAGGTCAAATATTATATGAGACCACTATTATAAGAACTCAAGAAAAGGTTTAAACACAGAAGAAAGCTTTCTTTGATGGTTACGAGGGTGTGGGGGAGGGGAGGGGAATTCACTAACTAGATGGCAGACAAGAATCATCTTAGGTGAAGGGAAAGACAAAATACAATATAAGGCAAGTCAGCACAACTGGGCCAAAGCAAAAGCTAAGAAGTTTCCTGAACACAACCAACCACTTTGAGGGACAGAGTAGCTGGGGCTGGGGCCTGGGGACCACAGTTTTGGGGGACATCTAGGTCAACTGGCATAAAAAGTTTATTAAGAAAATGTTCTGCATCCCACTTTGGTGAGTGGCATCTGGGGTCTTAAAAGCTTGCGAGCGGCCATCTAAGATGCATCAATTGGTCCCAACCCACTTGGAGCAAAGGAGAATGAAGAACACCTAAGACACAAGGAAAATATTAGCCCAAGAGACAAAAGGGCCACATAAACCAGAGATTCCATCAGCCTGAGACCAGAAGAACTAGATGGTGCTCAGCTATCACCAATAACCACCCTGACAGGGAACATAACAAAAAATCACGGAGGGAGAGAGAGAAAAGTACAGAGCAGAACTCAAATTCAGATAAAATGGTCTGACAGAGTCTGGAGGAACCCCTGAAACTATGATCCCCAGACGCTCTGTTAACCCAGAACTAAAACCATTCCCAAAGCCCACTCTTTAGGCAAAGATTAGACTGGACTATAAAACATAAAATAATACCCGTGAGGAGTGTGCTTCTTAGTTCAACCAGATACCAGACCAAATGGGCGGCTCCTGTCCAGAGGCAGATGAGAAGGAAGGAAGGGATAGGTTGAATGGACACAAGAAACCCAGGGTGGAAAAGGGGAATGTGCTGTCACATTGTAGGGATTTTAACTAATGTCACATGTTTATACACATCACAATATGTGTATAAATTTTTGTATGAGTAACTTGAGCTGCAAACTTTCACCTGAAGCACAATAAAATGTTTGTCCACCTTAAAAAAAAAAATTGGTGCCAAACACCTCTTAATATCTTTTCATCAACTTTTGTCATAAAGCAGCTCATTTAATAATGTAGGTATGCGTGTGTGTGAAAATTCAAATTCTTAGTGAGTCAAATATCTTGAAAAATTAAGAATATTTGTACTACTGATAAAGACAGAAGAAACTGTTGATAATGAGAAAATGATCTTGAATAACTACATAATTAACTACATTTTATATACTTTACCTACTAGTGTTCCAATAACGCATATAACTACTTAGATTCCTCAAACATCAGATGCTCTACAATTTTGCTTTACACCGAGTATAAAAAACTAAATGATGCATTTCTTCCCTCTATTACCCTCAAAATATACTTCAAAATACTACCACTTTGTCTCTACTGAGAGCTATGTTCTTAATATAGGACACCATATAAAACTAATTTTTTAACATAATGTTATGAAAGAATCATAAAAATACCATTCTTTACTTACTTGCATTTTCAGACTTTAGCATTTTAATTTCTTCTGTTTTCAGTTTCAAAGTTTCTTTGAGGACTGCATTTTCACAGTTTAGCCTGGGGAAAAAAGTTTCCTCTGAATAAATAAAACAATAACATTTCCTACTTGAATAAGAATATTTTTATTGCCATAGTCAGAAAACAAAAACCAAAATATAATTTTTCGACTTATAAGAAAACAGTGTAGAATTTACCTGTTGCAGAAGTAAAACAACTTAAAGGAGTGTGGTAAATTAAGCACACTCTTACACTCTTTTTTATACTTAGTTGAGAAACAATCAGAATCAGAAATATCTCTAAGACATTCATTTTGTGTACTCATTCTCTACTAACGTTTTAATTCAACTTAACCATCTGAACACCAACTATATGCTTAGGCCACTTTCAAAAATGTGTACAGAAAGATACACAGGGATGAAGCTTAAAATCCCGGTAATGGGACAAAGCAACACCAAAAGGCTTCTGGTATGATGCACTAAGAAGACAACATTGCTTCAGTGATACTCCTGCCAGAAACGAATAACCCGAATTTGAGCCAGAAACACCAGACATACCCAGTTGTGGGACACTCTATAAAATAATTGGCCTGTACTACTCAAAACGGTCAAGGTCAGGAAAGACAAACAAAGGCTGAGGAATTGTTTCAGATTAAAGGAAACTAAAGTTTAGACATAACAACCAAATACAATGTGGATCCTGAAACAGGGGAAATATTATTTCTCTCTTTTGCTTTAAGGTCATTATTAGAACAACTGGCCAAATCTGAATAAGGTCTACAGATTAAATAATGTTATTAGGTCAATGTTAATGTCTCGATTCTGATAATTAGACTATGGTTATGAACGAGAATATCTGTTTTGTTTTTACTATAAACATGCATTTACTGTAAAAAACCAAAAACCCGTTGCTGTCGAGTCGATTCCAACTCATAGCGACCCTGCAGAACAGATTAGAAATGCTCCATAGGGTTTCTAAGGAGCCGCTGGTGGATTCGAACTGCTGACCTTTTGGTTAGCAGTCAAGCTCTTAACCACTATGCCACCAGGGCTCCATTTAGGGTAAGGGGGCTTTAGATATGCAACTTTAAAATGGCTCAGAAAATATATATATACACTTATCTAGGGATAGAGATACAGAGAATGAGAGAAAAGATGATAAAGCAAATATGGCAAAAAGTTAAAATTTGAGGAATCTGGGTGAAGATTTATAGGAATTCCTTGTACTCATCTAGCAACTTTTCCATAAGTCTTCAATTATTTCCAAATAAAATGTTAAAAAATAATAAATTAAAACAGTTAGGTAGTAAAGCCATCCATAACCCCAAATATCAAATCAATTTCTCAATGACTGACTTTATATGTTATAATTTAAAGCTATTAAATAAACTCATACTAATAAAAGAATGGCTCAAAAGATTTTGTTTGAAAAAATGAACAGTTCCAATGCTAAAATAATTAGTGTTTGGTTCTTATACTGTATTTAAAAATAGTTACATACTGTATTTGAAAAAAAAAGAAACGTGAAAATTAACACTGACAGAAAACTATGGATAAGCAATAAGAATTTTACAGTATTTATAGTTAGCACAAGGAAGAAGAAAGTCCAACCTACAGTTAAATTACACACATTTTAAAGATTTTCAAAGAAAAACTATGGAGTAAAAATATACAAACCTGTCACACTTTTGGGTCCAAGATTCCTCTATATTTTTAAATCTATTCTGGTCAAATTCTATTTCCCACTGCAAGGCATTTATTTCCTATAGAAAGAAAACAGTACTTCCATGGAAAATTACTGTTAATAAATTATTTCAGGACAAAGGAAATAGCTGAAATAATCACTGAATCATTTCACAGAAATGCTTTACAGAGAAAACATTTAATTCTCATTCAAAAAGAGTATATCACAGTTGTAAGCTTATACAACACACCTCTTTAGCACTCAAAAAAGCTCTGCCAAAGTTTACTTAATATAGAATAAAGTTCAAATTGTTTAGCTTCAAAATTTGCTGGACTGAACCTGGATTTTTCAGCACCATGACTGCGCCCCTTCGACTCCCCACTTGGACTAGCCCAGGGTCTCCCATCAAGAGAGGGCACACCAGGAACAGAAACATGACTGAGATAATTCCTAACTACCTTCTTAGTAATAATGAGATGGTGAAGAAGCAGCAGGCTCTGCCAGGCAAAAAGAGGAATAAAACAAGAAGAAGAAAAATTAACCACAAAACGTCAGTTTGTCAGGCCTCTACTACCTTAAAATAGGAAATAAATGAAACCTTAATTCTCTCTGACCATGTGACAATCTGTTTTGGACTGTAAGCTCCAAAAGGGAAATGACCATGTGAAATTGAAGCACACCTAGCAGCAGAGGGTATGTACAAATGACATATCCATTAGGATGGTGTTTTTAAGGAAATTCTATTTAAAGTTTATTGAACAAATCTTCTAAAAGTAGCAAATACCTTCTCCAAGGATCTCTTTTGTTCCACAGTTTTTTGAAGCACAGCCTGGGTATGACCTGTTGCTTTACCAAGTACTGCCTAAGAAAAATTAAAATAACATTAGTGTAAACTGAATTTCTAATCGCTTCTATAAAAACAGCGAAATTCACATTTTTAAGACAACAGAGAATTAGCTTGCAATGAGAATTCCACAGTGACCACCTTTTATGCGGAGTTTGATAGTTTAGGAATCAGAAGATTTTGGTTTGGCTCTTTCCCAGGTTCTGCCATGCAGAAATTCGGTGATTCTTAGAAGGAGGTGAAAGGGATTAAAGATTATTAAGGACATTATTCATGCCGCTATTTATTTAAATAATTGGTATCTCCAGCAGTATGCTAGTAAATGTTTAATAATCAGCCCTCCCCTCAAAAATGTGTGTATATGTATATTTGCCCCCACGTGTCTGTCAGTTGTCGTACTGTGGGGGCTTACGTGTTGCTGTGATGCTGGAAGTTATGCCACCAGTATTCAAATACCAGCAGGGTCACCCATGGTGGACAAGTTTCAGCTGAGCGTCCAGACTAAGACAAACTAGGAAGAAGGACCTGGCAGTCTAATTCTGAAAAAAATTAGCCGATGAAAACCATATGAATAGCATCAGAATATTGTCTGATATAGTGCTGGAAGAGTAGCCCCTCAGGTTGGAAGGGACTCAAAAGACGACTGGGGAAGAGCTGCCTTCTCAAAGTAGAATCGACCTTAATGGCAGGGATGGAGTCAAGCTTTCGGGACCTTTGTTTGCTGATGTGACACTACTCAAAATGAGAAGAAACAGCTGCAAACAGCCATTAATAATCGGAACATGGAATGTATGAAGTATGAATCTAGAAAAATTAGAAATCATCAAAAATGAAATGGAACACATAAACATCGATATTCTAGGCATTAGTGAGCTGAAAACAACTGGTATTGGCCATTTTGAATCCGACAATCATATGGTCTACTATGCCGGTAATGACAAATTGAAGAGGAATGGTGTTGCATTCATTATCAAAAAGAACATTTCAAAATATATCCTCAAGTATGACCCTGTGATTGATAGGATAATATCCATACACCTACAAGGAAGACCAGTTAATGCGACTATTATTCAAATTTACGCACCAACCACTAATGCCAAAGATGAAGAAATTGAAGATTTTTACCAACTTCTGCCATCTGAAATTGATCAAAAGTGCAATCAAGATGCATTGATAATTACTGGCGATTGGAATGCGGAAGTTGGAAACAAAGAGAAGGATTGGTAGTTGGAAAATGTGGCCTTGGTGATAGAAATGATGCTGGAGA